CCAGACAGCAGCGCAGTCCAGCGTCGAAATCAACATGGACCGGCGGCGGGCAAGCCATGTGGCGTGGCCATGTCCTTTCCGTTTGAATTGTTGGACATATATGTGGGCGCTTGGGCAGCATGCTGTCTGCCAGGCATGTTGGAGGAGCGTCTCCTGCCTGTCGTGCCCGACACACTCAAGCTCCCTGGTTTGGAGGACGAGCTGGCACGGCGTCGAACCTTCACAGCTCCTTGCATGTGTCACCATTTGAAGGCCGTGCTCTCTTTGGACGAATTTCAGTTGGACGGGGCCGACCCGCAGGTTTACAACCCAGATCTCGCGAGATTTTTCGCCAAAGTCGAGCCCGAGCTCATGCTGCGCGGGATCAATGCGGACCGCATCTCCACCTTCAAGGCCAAGATTCAAGCAACGAACCTACTTCTCCTGCGCATTCGAGACGGTCTTGAAGATGCCGGGTTCTGGACGGCGCGAGATCTACCTGGCTACCCTCGGCGTCAATGGTCTCCCGAGCAAGGCGCCGTCATGGAATGGATGCGAGATCGCTTGGGCGTCAACGACGCCAACGACAGCCGCAACCGCGTGCTACAGATTTCCGGACCTCCAGGCACCGGAAAAACTGAGGTCGTCATCGGCGCAACAAAGCTCGCTTTGGACGACGACTGTCGCGTCCTGGTTGCCGGACCGATCGGTCTCCTAGTGGCCATGTACCGTCTGAAGCTTCCAGCAGATGAACGCCTGACCATGGAGACCATCCACTCCGCCTTCAAGATTACACGGCCGGCAGATGCAGCCTACATCCCGCCAGGTCGACTACGTCGCTACGACGTTATTATCTTCGATGAAGTCTCTCAGATCGACCCAGCTGTATGGACCGATCTCAAAGCAGCACTTGGTGAACTTCACCCTGGGCCACTGATCCTCTTCGTGGGCGACTTCCAGCAGCTGCAGCCGGTCCACGGCAAACCACAACTCCAAATCGATCTCGACGCGGAGGTCGCCAACGGCACGGTCGATCGTATTGACTTGAAGAACCACAATCTAGCCAGATCCATCGATCCTGACATGCTCGACTTCCTGACGACAGTGAGAGAGGCACAACCAACTAGAACACAGCTAGAAGAGTTCTTTGCAGGAAGAGTTTGGAGCAGGGATTTGTCCGAGATCGCAGAGAAAGCCAAAACCTGGGAGGACGTCACAGGCAAGAAGTTCATGTTCCTCACTGTCGTGAACAAAGGTGCAGCGGATATCAAC